CGAGAGCCGATAAATATTCAGTCTTGATAAAAGACCTGAATGAAAGAGATAGCTCAGAGTGTGCTACGTCTCAGATAACAAAAAACTCTCGTTTTGGCATGCCTGAACACTTTGTTTTGCTGACAGCTCAGAGCGTCTATTGCAAAATCCAGAAAGAACAGGACTAAATTGCATAAATTCTTACAATAAATTTAATTGAAATTTCTATGTGCCTTAGAAAACCACTTACTGTTGCTGTCAAGCTGAGCAGGACAGAGCATGGTTCCAGTGGCTAAGTAGCAAAATGTCTTTTTCTTTGACACAAAATAAGACAGGGCTGTTTTAAATTTCTGTGTTTCTGTGAAGATAAGTGCCTGAATTGCAGTCCAGCAGTGCCCTAGGAGTACAAATGCAGTGTTTCACAAACAAGTTTAGCCTTCATTGACTAGCTTACATCAACAAGCAGGTTGCCCAGACTGGTTAGGCTCCTTATGTTGACACAGCCTATTACTTTCTGCTGAGGGAAATTCACTATTTCAGAGGGCCAAAAAATGATTTAGCACCGAGTGCCATCAGCCTGAAATGACACTTGTTTTCTGGTCACAAAAAATGACAGTACCCTTAACCTGAAAGCAAAAGGATTTTAAGTGTTTTTAAGCTTTTTGCACATTTGGATAGGTGTTGAAAAACCTCATGGTGATTCATCAGTTAACATTATTGCCTCCATCTTGCATTTGAGGGGAAAATAAAGTCTTGGTTGTGGTTCACTGGCTGGAATATTTACTGTGATTAATTTATTTTTTAATGATAAATCATCAGAATTCTGCCCACCCCTCATATTAATGTGTTGTTGGATGAAATGCCTTGGTACTCCTATAATTTGCCCACTGTACATGATTTGATTAGAGAAGGCCCTGCATTGAAAGATCTGTAATCTTGTTATAATCTTGTGTTGCATCAAATGAGTCGCACCTGCAAAATCAGTGTACAGGGAGATTTCAGTGTCCAGTGAATTGATCAGATTCCTTTCTTCTGGATGCTATCCAGAGTCAGTTGGTACCAAAATTTCCTCTAGACTCTACTAAACATGCTCAGGATTTTTTGGTTTGGTTTGGTTTGGGGTTTTTTGGGTTTTTTGTTTTGTTTTGTTTTGGTTTTTGTGTGGTTTTTTTGTGTGTTTTTTTGTTTTTTTGGGTTTTTTTCTCCCTGTAATGCCTAAGACATTTGCAATGCAGCCAGCCCTCAAAGCTGTAGCCCTGTAAACAGCAGAAGTAAAAAATTACAGGGGACATCACATATGCAACTGCTTGATTCTGGGAAGAGTGAATGGAAAACAGAAAAGGGAAAATGTATTTAAAGTTAATTAAAAGTTATTTGCACTTCTAAGTCAAGAATTTGAAAGTCAATTCAGCTGTCATTCACCTGCAAATCTTGGGGATTTTTTTCTTCTGAACTAGTAGATAACATTTTACTTTCAGAATAGCACTGAAAAATGGAGACATTAAAGCATAACCTGACAGAAATGAGTCAGTAGTTACACAATTACATTTGACCACCCGTGGCAATGTGACAGAAGTAAAAAAAAAAAAAAGAAAAAGAAATTACTTGAGAGAAGCAGAACACTGTCTTTCAAAACATCTGAAAAATGTTAAAGGTTTTAAATTATACAGGGCTGTGCAGCCTTAAAGCTGATGCCAGGCTTCAGTCTGTCACAAGGATGTCTCATGTCCCATGTTTTCTTTGTGAAGGAATTGCAGCATAGCCACAGTCCCAGTCCTTGCAGTGATCCTGTGTCACTGGTACCAATAAACCACATAAAAGGTTTATTTTATTGGACCAGATAAAAGGAGATCTTTTTTTCATCTTTCACACTCCCAGGCTCCTCAGTACCAACCCTCATGTGCCCAAATGTTTGGGGCAGAGAAGAAATCCCTGCTCAGTGCCCAGGGAGCTGCAGCAATAGCCAAACAGAAATCCAAACTCCAAAGGTATTCCAGCAGGAGGAAAGCAGAAATCCAAACTCCAAAGGTATTCCAGCAGGAGGAAAGCCTTTCAGAGAAAACCTAGCAGAGATCCTGAAGCTGCAGTTTTAAAGGCTGCTGAGCCCCTCCGTTGTTCTGGCTAACAGAGACAGGGCGATTACACAGGTGTCAGGCTATGGACTGAACCTGGGGCTGCCCTTCTGTTTGCTCTGCTTGTTTGCCTACTTTTAGCAGTCTGGGTATCCTGGCGTTAAATCTTGCCCAATAAATGCAAATGTGTGTGTTTGCATGGTTGTGAGGGAGGAACCACTGTGACCTACTATGGTGTTTGGAGTGCAAAGTGCAGGAGGTGAAATGGGCAAACCCAGGTGGCTCCACCTCCATAAGGGAAGCAGATCCAAGTAAAGCCAGACATGCAGAGATTTTTGAAGGCTCTGTGTTTGCAGAAATATTGATGCCTCAGGTTTTAGCTTTTATATTTTTCAGATTTTGTGCTGCTTTAGTGTGTGGGTCTCAGCTTCCTATTGGGGCATGGTGAGCTCTGTGCACAGAGCAGGGAGACAAAACAATTCCTGCTCCAGCTGGGCACCAAGGACAAATGACCCAAATCTCAGCCCAGGAGCACAAACACCGTGGGCTGGAGAGAGAAA